CTAACAGGTCTAATCCAACTAATCTGCTTAAAATACAAGACTCACGAACCAGAGGGGGCGAGCCAAGAGAATTTTAGCTCGCCCTCTCTGGTTCGTGAGTCTTGTATTTTAAGCAGATTAGTTGGATTAGACCTGTTAGACTCCTGCACAAGCTTGTAGACCATGCAAACATCCGCAACCTTACGACGTGTTTCAATGGAGGAGAGTTCAAAGTACTTGTTTCTAACGGAAGCTTTGGGATCTAGGATACAAGAAGCTCATAGTCCCCATTCGTTCATTATTTGTACATGATTGTGAGTTCAGGTTGTCAGGCTGCGTACAGTACTCCCGAAAATGCGCGCGTGAAGTTAAAAATGTCGCGTTGTGAATGCACACGATCGGGCGCACCGTAATCGGTTTAGTTATCCAAGTTTGAGGTGCGTTCAAATAGCTACTGTTATACGGCTTTTGCATAACCGGCTGATGTACGTTTCATCTCTGTCACCTCCTCTCGGGGAGAAGTAGAGTACGGGTGCGGCGGCCACCCGGGCAGCGATCGGCGAGACCCCGGCAGCGCGGCAGGTTGCGGTACCTGCGCCTAGATTAATTGGTCCACACAGTCCCAGGCCCCGCTGGTGCATCGACGCGCAATTCCCGGGGGGGTACTGCACACGCCTGACACCTAACCTAATAAATCCTACAATAATATAATCCGCTAAGTAAGTCTGTAAGTGTGTGTGTGTGTGTGTGTGTGTCTGTGTGTGTGTGTGTGTGTGTGTGTGTGTGTGCGTCTGTCTGTCTGTCACGAAATTCATAGCGAGCGGCTCAGAAAAGATAAGACGACAGTTCCAAGAAGTGATATACGTGGCAGGACGGGAACACTTTTTGGTGGGTGATAGAATGTGATAGCACCTGATAAGATTCGATAAGGGGCCTTAAAAGGGGAGGCTGACCGAGCCCATAGTGCGAGCCACGGTAACAGTGGACATTGGTCCAAGGTATGGTATAGGTGGAAACAGGAACATTAATGATGGGTGACCGGGAATGATTAGCAGCTGATGGGATTTGATAAGGGGATTAGAATGGTAAGGTCACCATACTCATTCGGAACACAGCATCAGCTAGGCATTAATTTCAGAAAATGATGTAGGGTTTGGAGATGAGGCACACGGCACGTGAGTGGATTAACAGCTGGGAGCTGATAAGGAACGTTGCCAATTGCTGTTCAGTCATATTGCTGGAGCTTTTACACTAACAAATTAATGAGTTTCAGTGATAGGGACATTGATGACGGGTGACAGGATCTTATCAATCGATAAGAAACGATAAGGAGTCATTATCATTGCCTGTCTTATCACTATATCCCCCCAAGTATCAAAGGCTCAGTGTGCATACTTCTCCTTCAGCCATCACTTCCACTGATAGCCTAAAAAATGAACTCATCCTACTATCCTACTAGATATAATCGCTAAGTATGTCTGTAAGTGTGTGTGTGTTTGTGTATTTGTGTGTGCGTCTGTCTGTCTGTCACGAAATTCATAGCGAGCGTCGCAGAAAAGATAAGACGACAGTTCCAAGAAGTTGTTATACGTGGCAGGATGGGAATAATTTTGGTGGGTGATAGAATGTGATAGCACCTGATAAGATTCGATAAGGGGCCTTAGAAGGGTAGGGTGACCGAGCCCATAGTGCGGGCCACGGTAACAGTGGGACATTGGTCCCAAGGTATGATATAGGACGTGGGACAGGAACATTATTGGTGGGTGACAGGGAATGATAGCCCCTGATAAGATTCGATAAGGGGCGTCAGAAGGGGAGGGTGACCGAGTCCATAGTGCGTGACACAGTAACAGTGGGACATTGGTTCCAACATATGATATATGACGTGAAACAGAAACATTATTGATGGGTGACAGGGAATGATAGCAGCTGATAGGTTGATAAGGGGAGTTAGAATGGTAAGGTCACCATACTCATAGCTCGGAACACAGCATCAGCTAGGCATTAATTTCAGAAAATGATGTAGGGTTGGAGATGGGGACACGGCACGTGAGGTGATAACAGCTGGGAGCTGATAAGGAACGTTGCCAATGCTGTCAGTCAAATTGCTGGAGCCTTTGCACTAACGAATTATAGAGTTTCAGTGATAGGACATTGATGACGGGTGACAGGATCTTATCAGTCGATAAGAAACGATAAGGAGTCATTATCATTGCCTGTCTTATCACTATATCCCCCCAAGTATCAAAGGCTCAATGTGCATACTTCTCCTTCAGCCATCACTTCCCTGATAGCCTTAGAAAATGAACTCATCCTACTATATAATGTCGATGTCGACGAGCGGGGGGGGGGGTATGTAGTTCGCCTGAAACAGGAATCTCAGTGAAATTCGAGGAGAACCGAAAAATACTTCAACGAGCGGATCGCATGCTAAGTGAAAGAAAAGCGTTCGTCGGTAGGCATTCCGGTGCAGGTAATGGAAACAAAATCTGCTATTTCACTGAGCACTTCATATTGCGCTGTATTGGCCGACTGCACATTGTATCTATCTACAGATTTTATTCTATGGGCGAGAAGCTTCTAAAAGCGCGTGTTGAGTTGTTTGGGGTCTTAAGCCTTGCTGTGTCTATTACGATTCGATCACTACAGCGCCTTATGAGCAACCCACTACCGAAAAATTCCGTTAAAATTGTGGAGCCGCCTGGCGAAGCCAGGCCAGCTCGACGAAGCCGAGCTCAAGAAAACTCAAGTTTTTACTGACACCATCCGCGCGGCGCGGTCGCGTGCAGCTCTCTTGGCTTTTTGCCAAGTCCTGTAATTCAGCTCTGGAATACAAGTACAACGCAATTTCTTTATGCGGATAACATTAGGTGCTATAAAATAAGAGCGAAGATGATGACGAGGGCTAGAACTCAAGAGCGGCTGTGCTGCTTCTGCAATATCCCTCAGAGGCCGCGCGTTCCTATAGAACATGATAATAAAAACGGACAACATGACAATACAAGCAAAACGCAATTTACTAACATTTGAGGTATTGCTCATGCTTCAATGACAAAGGCTAGAAATGAAGAACAACGAAGTAGATGTAAATAAAACAAAACTAGAAAAAAACTAAAGAAACACAATAATTAAAATCGCATGTGCATTTCTGCGCCGGCTCGAATCGGGCACTAAAGTTATTGAAATACTTCAAACTAACGAGTGGGACGCTTAGGCCGTTTTTATTGCCATTGTCATGTTCTGAGGGAATGTGCGGCCTCTGAAGGATATTGCAGAAGCAGCACAGTTGCTCTTGAGTTCTAGCCCTCGTCATCATCTTCGGTCTTTATTTTGCAGCACCTAAAATGTTATCCGCATAAAGAAATTGCGTTTTACTTGTATTCCAAAGCAATTACAGGACTTGGCAAAAAGCCAGGAGAGCTGCACGCGACCGCGCCGCGCGGACGGTGTTAGTAAAAACGTGAATTTGCGAAACTGGCAGTGTTTCAAGGAATTACGACTTTCCCATGGCCCCGTACTCTGACCCGTGCAGTTTTGGGCGGAAGGACCTCGACACATCGACAGCTGGGGGCTGGTAGTCTTATGCACCCTCAGTGTGTTTGAGCGTACCATGTGTCTTCAAATGGAACGGCTCCCACAGAGCCGTTCCACATGAAAGGTTTCAGAATATACTGCAGAAACTGTACTGAGAGTTGTCGCATTCTGTTTTTCAGGTTGACGGATTCCATCATTCAATTTACTGAAAGATTTGGTGTACATCTTCCATTTGTCTCCCTGAGATACGACGTGAAAAGGGTATCGGATGCAGCTCCTGATGGCGATGATGGAGTTAGTGAGAATGATCGTGCTGATTCCGCGTCGTATGGAAGTGAGATGTGAAAGCACTTACACTGAATACTATTATAATACTAAGCAACCTATACGATCACCTCACGCCACGGTGAAAATGCGGCAGTGTTCAGCCGTTCCTGCCTCTATCACCCAAAACCTAACCAGTTTTCCGACTTCTCTCTCCAACAGTAATTTGGCTGGAATTTTGTCCTTGGTGGTAGTCTGGCTTATGAGCACGAAAATGACATGCGCACCACTGCTTGGTGCCCGCGTGGTCACGAAATTATTATGGATAATAATTACCATATTCGTGGAAACTTGTTTCCAGTTTAGTTTGATCCCTTCCTCTGCTAAGGCTGTGCTTTAGCAAAGGGAAGGATCACTATCGAGACAGCTAGAAAGGCCTCTGCTTTTTCTCGCTTTGTCTCCCGAACTGCCCTAGCGCACTGCTGGTGTGGCGCAGGCTTTGAGCGCTTTCAGATCAAACTAATGTGACACCTGTGTTCAGGGGATCAAACTTCTCCTACCTGGCGCGCGCTATGGCGCGTGCGCAGTGATACTCTAGATTGCATTTTATACCGCAAATCGTAAGGTCCCATTTAATACATAACGATTTTGAGAAAACGATGAATCTACGGATAGACGACGAAACTAGGGATAGAGGTAAGTGTAAGTTCGCTTTGGAGAGGCGATACTTACCTCTACTCCTTACAAGGGAGGTCTTCCAGGTTAGGGAGCTCATTTTTGAAACTGTTGCAATTTGTAGAGGTTTAACGGGGATCACAAAAGTGTTGTTCATCTTCGCTGCGCCCTTCTGGGGAGGCCTAAGAAAGGATGAAAAATAGGCTGACTGTGCGAATCCGGAAGGAACTACGCTTTTGTGCTTTTCGCTTGAAGCTTGGCAATATGTAGCAAAACAAATGAGAACGGACTGCACCGGAGGACCCCGCCCCCCTTAAGAACCGACCAACAATAAGAGAAATACTTCCTATTCTGCGGAATCTCGGCAAATTCTGCATTTTTGCATTCCCAAAAATCGTGACCCTTTTCGGATCGATACTTATACTTTCTTTTTTTTGTTTTTTGCAGGCTCTGCATTCTTTTTCTGCGGTTATTCAAACTGACACATACACTTTCGTCTATCTGCAGCACATAAATGCTAGTGTTGGCAATTTCAGGTTCACTACGTGTTCGAGAACGTGCTCCTCACGTACAGTGGAGAGTAGGCCAGGTCATCAAGCACAAGGTACTTTTGCTTCTCGCTAGCGTCACGAGAAATTTCTCACAATCAAGTCACTCGGTCTCATAAAGTGACTGGTGATCGATCAGGCAGCTTTCAGACTTGTGATCCGCCGCGGTGCAACTGTCGCGATGCGCCGAGATGCAACTATCGTGATACAATGGCGCGCTGCGCAGCAATGCAACTGCCGTGACCAAATAATATTCAATTGATATCAGTGGCCTGTATCTTTCTCCGTTACCCCAGACTTCGTGCCTTTCATAATGTTGCAAGAAAACGGCCCCAGTTATTTGTGGACCGCTTGCATATCCCTCAAATCAATCGCTAACCCAAGGTGAGGTCCCGTCTCGGTGGAAACATTCCTTTGTTACACCCATTTTCGAGAAGAAGCCTGCATTCAGTCCCGAAAACTATCGTTCTGTCAGCATAACATCCTTGTTTTGCGGGCTGTTTGAGAAAGTGCTAAAAAACCATATCAACCGTCATCTCGATTATATCATCTCCAGTTATCAACATAGATTTGTTTCTGGTGGCTCTGTGTAAACCGTGTATGATTGAATGACTGAATGACTGGACCGAAGCCCTTGATAATAAGTGTTCTTGCCAGGGCACATTGATTGGGGATTTTAGTCGAGTCAGTGCAACCTTTCTGGGGTTGGTACGACCCCCTTCCTTCCGGCGCTCTGTCGCTCCTCACCGAATGGTGCCGTCGAGCGGGGGGTACATAGTACGCATGAAGCAGTACGCACGAAAAGTCAGCCGCCATTCCCACCACTCCTGGAAGGGCCAGAAAGTAAATACGACACCTCAACTCACAACAGTGAGCAAGTACGACTTCCCCCCCCCCCCTTCTACAAGTTCCGTGAAGCGAGGAAAAATCGACTATCAAGATACATTTTCTCAGCCCAAATACGACTCCCTCCTCTCCTGGCGGCCAAATACGACCCCCCCCCCCTGTTGGGGATTCCCCAGAACGATGTGCCCTGGTTCTTGCGACGTTATTATATTTTCACTTTGCGAAAGCATTTCATAGAGTCTCAGATAAGAAACTCATCTTGAGACTAAAAGTCCTTGGGTTCCATTCTGTTTCAGGAAGTGGATATCGAAATAACTTTTTGGCAGAAACTTCCAGGTCAAAAATTATCCAGTCCTATTCAAATGTTAAACAGGTGCTAAGTGGAGTACCCAAGGTAGTGTTTATCACCAGTTCTTTTTAACATTTTCATGGCCGAACTTCCTAGCATGCTCAGCGAAGGAGGAGTCTTAGCTAAAGTATACGTTGGCGACTTGAAAATAAATAAGACGATCTCGCATGATACGGACTATCTGGTTCTGCAAAAGGTCATAGATGTAACAGTCGACCGGTCTAAGAAATAGCAGTTGCCTATACCTCCACAGCAGAAACTTAACTCCCGAAATCTCCAACTATCGTCTGCATACACTGTAGATGGGGTCAAACTCTCTGCTTAACAGTCTGTCGGAGATCTCGGTTTCTACCACACTGATAGATTAGCTTTTTCGGAGCACATCAAAAGGAGGGTACAAACAGCTCACGTATTCAAACAGCTCACGTATCACATTTTCAAAGGCCTATTAACTACAAACACACAAGTATTATTGCGAGCCTATGAGACCTATGTTGACCCTTAGTAGAAGCTAGCACTACGGTATTTAACCCTACGAAAAGGACAAAAAAGAAGCACATTCACTTGAGAAAGTACAAAATGGCCTCGCTTGAAAACTAATGATTAGAACTGGTAGTTTTGTGTACTCAGGAATGCCGAACGCCCGAACAGGAATAAACTCCTACGGCTATCATCTCCGCTGTCCAGACGGAATGTTTTCGATCTTTGTCTAGTTTACAAGCTTATTGAAAGATCGCGTGGTTCTGGTTCCAGTAATGTCTTCAAAATGGTTCATTCGAACACTAGAGGTGGTCCCATGAAGATCTGTTTGTTAAAACCTAAGACTAATTCACGTGCGAAAATCTTCACCTTCAGGGCGGGCAGCACGTATTTGAAGTTAACAAAAGTCATACCTGCCGTTTTGTCACATGCACAGTTCAGACACCGTATTTCCAACAGGTCATTGAGGTATGGTAGGTGCAGCTGTCTTGAGACTGGTCGACAAGTGGTGATTTTCTGACTAATTAGTGTTTTTGAAAAATTGTAACTAATACATCAATATTGGAACTTGCACATGTATTGTGTTCCACTATTCATCAATATCAGAACTTGTACATGTATTGTGTTCCGATCTTTTTTTCTCACATATGCCTTATGCACACGTGATAAGCTTATACTTATATTATGCTGACAGCTGCTATGGCCTTTGTAATAGACGACACGTGAAGTACATGGTCTCACGGTATCCATATTTGCCCTCCGATCGAAAACAGAATTATCTTTTAATCGTGTGAAAACAGTAACCGTCAACGAACAGTTGTCACTCTGCACTTTATGAAGCCAAATACTTTTCAAAACAGTTTAGGGATGACATCTTGATGATGCAAGGCTTCCGGTCAGCTTAAATGCAATCCTTTGGGAGTGTATAGACATAATCCCGGCAAATCCTGAGTGAGGGAGCGTGAGTTGGATTGCAGACGGAACAGTCCTGCCACTTGTTGCCTACTCATGGCATTATTACTGGGAATGCTTCCTTGGTAGCGCTTGTATCCACGGCCCCTCACATGCCTTATAATGGCAGGGATCATGACAATGTCACGGTTTGTTTGACTGTAATCAAATTTCAAAATGTTCGTGTAATCCAGGCTTTAAAGGCAGTTAGCACAACAGATCTCCGAGACGAGTAGGGGTGATGTTCCTGGCAACCCCTTTTCGTCTCGGAGATCTGTTGTGCCAACTGCCTGGCGCCCCCGAGCAGGCACTGCATTCCTAACCTTATAAGACCGATCCGGACGCCCATAGCGCCCGCCCGTTCACAAATGGACGACCGTACCAAGTGCTCGTATCGCTTCATTTGCGAGTAAAGTATGAAGCGAAGGCATTGATATGAAGCGGCTGCGGTGTTGCATGGATATATGAGCACACACGTGCAGCCGTATCTCCAAAGCACTTATTGCCGAAACTCGTCCGAAACTGCTTTCTCAGTCATAAAGGGATGCTGGGGTCAGGTACAATAGAAGCGCGACACAGCTGCATCACGGAAGTTGCATCGCGGCAGTTGCATCGCGACACTTGCATCGCTGCGCAGCGCGACAGCTGCATGGCGGCAGCTGCATCAGGCGCATCGCGACAAAACTGAACGCTGCTTTATGCTGTCTCCTAACCACTGGAGTAACGCCAAACGCATGTTCGATCACATGACAGCTAAACAATTTTCTTGAAAGATAGAGGTTCACAGTCTCAGAAATGTAGCATTTGACAGTGTGCGGCAATGGTACTAGATGGTTGTGATAGCTAGTACTCCCTCGCATTACTTCTAGCTTCTCGATACGCACTACGTACGTCAGCAATATGGACCAGCCGTATCCGGCTGCAGTCGGAGGCTGTGTAATTGTAGCGTGGCACACATCTGACGTATGCTATGGTTCGGCAAGGGTGTGCGATCGAAAGACGGGCGAAGACATAAGGGAACACAGGGATAAAGCTATCGCATGCACAAGATTATAAGTTAAGGTTGTCTGGCTGCGTACAGTACCCCGAAACCCGCGCACACACAAAACAGAAGCTAACCGCCAGCGCAAAACTGCTGAAGGAGCAATGACAGGAAAGATGACGGCCACCCACAACGACGTCATGAATTTATAAAGAGATGAAAATACACTTCCGGACCTTTCTGGTCGCAGGAGCACATCTACATGCACGGAGCAAGCTCTATCTAGAAGTTGCACCTTCTCAATACGTCTGCGTGAGAGCCCTATGCATGGCGCATCATAAAGGTGATGCCAATCGGCGCCGGATGATATTTCCTGATACCCTTTGCGAAAACATGTGTTTTAGAAGCATACCAAAGTCTTCAAGCCAACTGGAAGTTTACGGCGTGAGAGGAATGGGTTTTTGGTGTCCTCCGGTGGGAGTTGCGTTCAGATGACAACGGGGGATTCGAATAGCAGGCGTAGGGATAAAATCTCGTTGGAGAATAGAAACCTTCGAAATTCCGTCACTGCTTTTTTTTTACAAATAGCCTTACATGAAGGAAGTTATGGCAGTTAAAACAAGCACTCGTCAATGACCCCCTAGAATCACAACGGAAAGAGTTCCTTGAAAAGAGTTTTTTTTCGAATCGCTGAAACTCATTTAATAAGTGTCAGCCTAGTGCTGCACAGCTCTGCTTTCCAATCTTTTAAAGCTCCACTCTCAAAGAAGTTATGGATGTTCAAGCGAAGGGTATTTGGGTGCATGTCTTGAGGCTGCATCCGAAACGTGAAATAGCTCACTCCAGTACCGCAGCACAAGGCGCACTCGCATTCGAGTGACCGCGAGCAACTAATATTCACTTGTTGGCATTTGCATTTTCCCGCATTTTATTTCTTTCCTTGTATCTTTTATGCTCATTTACGATTTACTAGTCGGCTCGCCGGCTAACGCCGGTGCGCCTCCTTCTGTGATACGGCCTGGCTTCGCCGGGCAGGCGCGGAAAAAAAACCCGGATAATAATTGAGTATTCATACATACTGAATTCAGTATGTGTGTATACTCAATTAATGTCCGAGTTTTCTTTTATCTGAACAAATGATCAACGCTCTCTGACCAATAACATCATACCTGCTATTTTCAAACTACTAGTGTGCATGACATTATGGTAAGGAGCATTGATGAAGTGCATAGATGACAGAAAGCCGGGTACAGTTGTGCATTTGAACGTGCGAAAGCAAGTAGGATAGACGAGGCTACGCCCGCCCGGCAAGGCCGGGCCCTATTACAGAGGCGGCGCGCCAGAGTTTGCCGGCAAGCCGATTGGTGCGTTGATGCGATCTGATGCGTTTACGACGACCGATAGTTAAGACCCCATACGCCACAGACGCGCTCAACCTTTTCTGTTTGTTTCTTTTCTCTACAGACTTTCTGCAATCCCTTAAGTCACTCAGGTCCGAATATAAAGCAAGCAGGCCCGCCAGTACGTCCCGCCCATTTTGGGGATGTCTCTCCCATTTCATCCAGTAACCGCTTGTGACGTTTATTCTACATGTCCTCGGTGCATATGCTGAACTGCAAGCGGCTTGTGAATTTTGACTTTTGCCCCTCCTACCTCGACACCTGCTTCGCCCGCAATGGGCATGTCTATCTCACTTCAACGGCCGAGGACTTTCACACCTCTGCTGAACTTTGGCCGGTGTCTGGACTGCTCTGGGAACGTTTCAAAGCTTTTTCGTGCGCCATCGCCCAGCTCTCCTCATGCTCCGCCCACCACGGGTGCGCCTTGTTCTTCTCAACAGGTGATCCACCGCTGACATCAGTCCTTTTTTTCAATGTTTGGAGTGCTCTGGAAGCGTTTTACAAATTTTTTAGCCTGGCTCCGCTACTTTTGCCGCTGTCTGGACTGCTCTGGAACTGTTTCGCGAATTTCTAAATCAGGGTGCG